TTTTCTGAATAATTTTACATTGAGTTATATTTTACTTATTTTTAATTGGATGGTAAAAGTTATTTAAACTATTTTTGACGGTTAATAACACCGCTTGGTTTTTTTTGACATCTCCCGTAGTAGGAGTATGTCCTGTGTCGCGGGGGACTTTTACAAAAATACATGGAGGCGGACACAAAGAACACCCAGACTCAGAACAACAATTTGTTGATCACACAAAGTGTCGTCCCATATAGGGATCAAACTTACAACACTCAGCGTAGGAGTAAACGGCGTAACGACCGCTTAAACAGTAACCGACAAATAGTATTTCCATGAGTCCAAAATTTCACTAGTTGTGGTAACACGCGGACTGTACCTTGTAGCCGCTTTTCTTGTCAGGCGGACTACTCACCGGCCAACCTTAGACTACTGGACTCCTTAGAGGAAAGCAACTTACACCTCAGTCATACATACATGTATATTTAAAAAAAAATAAGTTACAATAATTAAAAAAATAATAATAATTAGTGGGTATATAAAAAAAAAAACCGCAGCGGCGCGCGTCAGAGCCGAGCTGATGGTGCTCGGAGCCTCCTCGTCTTCACTCCAGGAGGTCACTTCTCCTTCCGCCCGAGTCGGCTATTTATATTAGGTATTGAGGAAAGTTCACTATAGATATTAATAAAGTTAACGAGAAGTACGTAACCCTTGAGTACGGCTGTCCGCTTGCTTTGTGAGACGCGTGACTACCAGTTTGCCAGAGGGTACCGAGAAACTTGAATTCGCACCAGAAGGCCACAAATGAACAAGCACGCCGTCTGAGACTGACCGTCTTGACCCGAAATCTGGGACCCTACGTATGGATTAGCACTCATATTATCGATCAGGTTCCAGAAACAAATAGGTACAAGAAAAATTAAGAATATACTCACCACTCTCGTGGGTACTTTGAAAATATTACGAAAATAAAATCACCAGACAAACAAAACACTATTTAAGATTGGAAGACAAGAGTTAGCAGAGTGTCCCCCGTGGCTGAAAGCCGGACTTATATATGTTCGGTTTGTGAAGTTTCCAGAAAGAATCCCTACTCAACATTTTAATTTGACATTTAAATTATCAACGAGGTCAACACGAACAAAATCAAAAGTAACTCGCTTCCTACCATAACAAAACACTTTTAACACCTATACAATTTGTCATGATAAATTAATAAAATTACTTATCTATAAAACAAACGCCATCTAGTGGTCCGACGGCGAACGAAGAACATCAATACTATAGCTATAAACTACTTTGGATAAATCAAACAAAATGCGACGCGGGCAACAGGTGTCGCTTTTTACAGCTCCGTATGCAATACAAATATAATAAAAAATAACTGTTACAACCTTAACCCGAAATAATAATAATATAACACTCCTATGTCATAGAAAAGTCTTAACACGTCACGGAGCTTTACACATGTCACTCACGATTCCAAACTAGATAGAGCCCGTGCTGTGGTAACTAGACTGCAGATAAACATACTTACATGTGTCTCAATAATTATATATTTTAGATAAATTACACACAGAAATAATGATCGTGCTCATCACACATGTTTGTCCTGGGTAGGAAGCATGCCACTTTCCTTCGAGAATAGTATTTTTCCTGGATGAAAGGCATAAAAGACTACATACAAAGTTTCTGAGAATGAATGTATGGGTTTTTGCTACTCAATCAGATCAAAATGGTTGAACGGATCAGGATTAAATTTAGCACAGTGATAGATTGTATTCTGGAACAGCAAATAATCTACTTTCTGTCACGAAAAAAATTGAGCAGTCGCGAGATGTTTGGCAGATCTGAAACACCGAAATTATTTTCGAGAGAGTCGGAGTGTCACAAACGCATGGCGATGCGTCGTCACACCGCATTACATGTTACTATACTGTCATTAAGCGTGACGAGGCATTATATGGCGACGCGTCGCCACGGCAAAAGTCTGATCCTCCGTATTAGATGATTCACATCAATATTTCATTTAACTACGGTTTTTTAACTACGAGTACTATGGATTTCTATGATTCGTTTTCACGTGGTTACTAAATTACTAGCTAATTTGTTACGCAAATTTTGTTTCCTAAAACTAATTAATATTTTTTTGTATCGTTTTGACCATAGACTTATATACTGTTAGAATAGTCTGTTTTGAAATTATTTTAATAAATAAGTCTAATCTCATTTTAAAACTGATAATTGATTAATCCATATTTGTAGTATTGACGGGACTGTTAATTAATGATCCTAATTGCATGGACCGAGGTCATGGGTTCGAATCCCACGGTCGGAGCCTTTTCATTTTTGCCGAAGCATAGCACATATTCTAACAAATAATGTCTTCTTCCCTGTCGAGTTGCTCTTGGCAGAGCGGTCGTAGTCACGTTGAAATGTCCAAGTTGGCGGTAGAGGCAGACACAGCCCTTCGTACCATCTTCCGCCATCTCTCCCTGTTGGCAGACTGTCGGATACAGTCAGACACGCGGCTTCCCATTTACGGATTTCACTTGGTCGGTCCACCGCATAGATACCCTGGTGATAAACCTGCCCCTGCACATGGCCAAAGTACTGTGGCATGCGCGACTGTACTACACAAATACACTAACACTAAACAAAAATTAAAAATGAACAACATAAATTTTCCCTAAAATGCCGCTTCTGTATCTTTGTTAGTGGCTATACTAAACAGCTCAGCTAATTAATATGGCTTCCTTTAAGCAACATGCAAATTCGAAGCACCATTTTAACTTCAACTTTCTCGTAACTACAGTGGGTTACGGCGGGCCCCCATTTGGAACGGGGGACCCCTGCCAATGGGGTGGACAGTGATGGATGATGCGCTACCCAATATTTGCGGTGCGATGATACTCCAATTAAATATTATCAATTATTTGTTTTGGCGGTTTGCGATTGGAGAGATGGGGTGGAGTCGACTTATGTCAATATTATTCGTTATTGCGCTTTTGGAGTCCTATAATGAAAAAGCTTTTTTAAGTTATAAACGGTTGAGGAAGGGTTATTTATTGATAAACCCAATATAATTCTTGTTAAGCAGAACAAGTAACTGTCCGGATTAAGTAAAAATGTAAAAAAAAATACTATTAAAGGACACTTTGGCTGTACCCATAATGTTCCCTTTGGTAGTACACAACAAACAAAGAACAATTATTGCTCTTTGAATTCTCTCTATTGAATTAGGCTACAGATCGTGACAAAAAAATATACATAATACATACAAATATAACTTAACATATCTTGGTATGGACATATCATGCGGGTGTTAGGTATGGAAGTTAAAGGGTACAAGCGAAGAGGAAGACCAAAGAAAAAATGGATGGACTGTGTGGGACAGGATATGCCTAGGAAGGAAGTAAATAGTGAAATGACGAGTGATAGAGTAGAATAGAAGAAAAATACATACTGCGCTGACCTCAAATAAAATCGGGATAAGGCTGATGATGATGGCATACAAAGATAACCCTCGTTCGGACACAGTCGCGTAAAAAGTAAGCAGAATCCATACTTATATTATTGATGAGAAAGTGTGTCCATCTGTCTGTATGTCTGTCTGTTTCCTAGATAGTTTGAATCGCGGGTAAGGACATAGGATAGTCTTTATTCCAGAAATTATCCTTTAAGGGGGTGAAAAGGGCGATGGAAGTTGTTATGGTCACCGCTGCACCGATTTAGATGAAATTTGATATGCAGATAGTTTGAGTTGTGAGTAAGGACATAGGCTTTTTACCGCGATAACAGACAAACATGCGGACGGAGCCAAGGGTAAAAGCTAGTCTCCGTTATAACTGAAAAATAAAATGAAATCAAATAAATAAACAACATTTTAACAGTGAGACTACTCAACTATAACATCAAATGAATAAAAAAATCATCTCAATTTAGTATTCATATTTTTATTAACTTCTAAAAAAACAAATAAATAAAAACCTTTTTCTATATATTTATGCCTTGCTGTGACATCTAACTAAGTTACGACTGTTTTATAAAAGAATTTAATTTGCGAAATTACTTTAGAGCGATAACAAACCTAAAAACGAAACACATTTATAAGTAACAACCCACGCTATAATGGGTTTCCAAACCACTTTTGCAAATAAATAAAAGACTAATGTTCTTAAGTAAGCATTTGATCCTTCTTGCCTTTAAAATTTACTACAGCTGATCGGCTATACTTGTAGAAAAGGTACCATATATTCCACAACCCTCCCCAAACTCTGTAATTTATCTCTCAGCTCTGAAACTCTTTCCTCAATTCTGAAATCCCCCCTCAGCTCTCTTCTCTTAACTTTGAAACCCAAATAACCATGTGATGTACTGTATATAATGTACTAGCAGGTCACCAGTTATTTTATTTACTAAAAAGAGAGAAAAATAAATGGAAATTTCGATACAGATAGGACACTATTTTTTATATTTTTAAATATATTTTTCTTTTTTGTATGAATCATTGTATATCATATGTATGTATATGTAAAAATGAAATTTATATGTAAATTAAATGAAATAAAGAAAATGATAATATTCAATTATTGCAGGTAAAAGTACCCATAGAATTTATATTTGTATTACAATTAAGATAGCAACATTATATGATAATAATCACATATTCTCATGCAAGTAATATCACACAGTTGTATAGTATATTATTTTCATTATGTCACATATATTAAAACGGCCAACATTGAACACAGCTTGAACCACAGAATTTTTAAAGTTTCTAATTCGATCCATGAAAGAGGACCATCTCCTTTTCATCATCACCGTTTAGAAATCATTCGCATAGATACATTCCCAGTGCGAGTATTGTCTTTAAAAAAAAGTGTTTGCGATAGGACAACAGCTTTTTTACTCAGTATAATTAAGAAAAACACATTCATTGATCGCAAATTATTTCTGTTTCTTCAGTTTTCTAAATGAATAGATAGTAGAAATTAAAAAAAAGTGTCCAGGTCATTTATTTATCCCCACATTATAGGCGGTGGCAAACGCCGAGGGCCATGGAACCCTCTGCCGTAGTATCCTCCGTAAGCTCCGAAACCACCTCCGAAACCGAATCGTGGATAATGGTAAAAGCCAGGGTAGAAGCTTGGGTATCCGAAGCCTCCAATGAAGTGTGATCGGGCAATCTGAAGTAAACATGGTAAAATAGAATTTAGAGAAAAGATACAGGCTTCAATTTACCACGGCCAGTGCTACGTGGTTGAAACGTCAGAGAAATCAAAGATTATGTGGTTAATACCTATCGTGGGCGCGTTAATGCTGAACATAATTATATATGTTACAGAGATCTCGAACTTACCATAGAATAAAAATGACATTAAACATATTTCAAAAATATCAACGTAAAATGTTAAATATAAAATATTAAAGTAAAAGATTAAAACGGCTCTTAAACATACGTGTATATACACTTATATAGTACTTTAGAGTACAATCAAAATAATAAGAAACAATAGAACTGATCTGTACAGGTTTTTAATACTATTTGTTCGTCCGGAAGTATACCTACGAGTAAAAAACTGAAGTCTGCATGTATGTGAAACTCATATTAGTCTTCAATTTGTCAGAATAAATGCATAGAACAAACTCTACTTTGTTTAGTGTGACTCTTAAAAATATAGTCTGCTATTTATTTTTTCAGTCTGTTCTATCAATATATAGCTTTTCAATAACATTTCGGCAGCAACGTTTGACACCGTCACCGGAAAGTCGCTTCATCTTTTGAAAAGGATCCCCCGTTGGCTGCAGAAGTAATCAGCATACCCAAAATAGACACTTAAGTGGAACAGTTTTACCCTCCTAAATACATATGATATTATTTACGCACCTGCACAATTAAAATCACTGCAAATAAAACCAAAATTGTATGAACCAACGACATGTTTTTTAATGAACCTATCTTGTCTATATCGAAACAATAAATAATGCATTAGAGCGCATATCGATATTATATATAGTACAAAAACCAACTATAAGTTACATGTCGTTAAGTGTATAATAGTCTTTATTACAACTGCATACGGTAATAAGAAAGACTAAAGCTGTAACGTAATATTTGTCTTTTTACTCGTCATGTTGTTGTGAAATAACTATTTCCATCGAGTTTGCCACAATGAACTTTACAGTTCCAGTACAAGATTCTAAATTGTGTTAATTATTATATAAATATGTGTCGATATGACATATACATATACCTACATATGATGATGACAAAGAGGGAATACCCAATAATCTGGGAATCTTTTATTCGGAAAATCACTGATTTTCATAGTATTTGTGTTTGGTTGTTGTTGCGTTAGGGTTACTGTTAATTTTCTTTTCCTTGGGAATAGTCTTTTTCTTCTGCATGAGAGGCTATGACCATGCACCATGTCTTCTTCTATGCTGCTGACAAGGTGCTTACTATATTTCTTGGTTTTTCGGTTGGTTAAGTATTTAAGGCGTGAAAAGTTAATCTTTATTTTCCTTTGTGCCAAGTCCTTTGTGACTCCCATGTTCCAGGTGTCTCTCTGTATCTTTCAGACCGAGGATTTTAATAAAAACCACCACATGACAACAATTTTTTGTGACACTTTCATGGATAAAATAATGTTATATGTGAAATAGTTTTACATACACGTAGTAAACAAGAAAATTATACTTGATGCTGTTAGTTGTACCCTGTCACCATGGTGTCCAGTCTTAGATTATTGTACTACTATTATTATTTTCTACTGTGTGGCCAAAACTAAATCACGAAAAGGCTGTATAGTCGAAACAGTTTCCTTAACATAATTCCTGCCGTCAATAACGCTCAACGTCGTCAACGCTCACAAGGCCAGAGAAAATAAATGGCTTAAAAAGTTCCCTCTCCCCAATTTCGTCCCCTTGGCAGAAAAACTACCTCCAGGAGATAAACTCCTCTGGCCAACTTGAAAAGCACTTAATAGGTTGTGTACCCAGGTTGGCAGATTTAAGGACAATCTGTCAAGGTGGGGATTTATTGAACCAAGCACAAATAAATGCAACTGTGGCGCATCTCCACAGACAATGGGCCACTAACATGCCCTACAAGCCCAGAATCGTGTACTCTTGACGACTTGTATCAAGCAAGGCCAAACGCCATTCGCGTCGCCAATCACTGGGTCAAAACCGTGTAAAGTGTTGCCATCGACATGATCAGTAAGTAATCTACACGATAAGTAAGTAAATAAGTAAGTATTATTTCTACTAGTCCTATCCCAACGGAATAAGACTTTTTTGAAAATTATTTATTACTTCCAATTTGTATGCCATAGGAGGGTGTGAGGGGCGAACCACCATCTTTCGCCCCAAGCCAACCTCACCTGCCCGCGGTGCATCCTGCTGAACGACGAACGAGGCTCTGGCGACCGACCGATGGCGGTATATCCATCCCAATAGGCGTAGCTAAATACAACAGGCCGGTGACGGGCAGCAGCGTTACCGGTGCGACAAGCTACGCCCTGCGATCGCCAACCCGCCTGCCCAGCGTGGCGATTATGGGCAAACCCCTCCCATGCAGACGCAACAAAGGCCACGGCCCCCAGTTCCCGGCGGCCCCGCTATTCCTGGTCATGGTGGCGACCTCGGTAAAGGCGGGGCAGGGGGTGCGAAGAATCTCCGGGCTACGGGAGGCCACCACAACCGACTGACCCTGGCTACGTACAACGGACGCACGCTACGGCTAGACTCGCATCTGGCGCAACTTGAGGTGGAACTTGGGAAGATTAGGTGGCATATCCTAGGGCTATGTGAAGTCCGAAGAGAGGGGGAGGACACCATAACCCTCGAGTCAGGCCACCTAATGTACTTCCGCGAGGGAGACCAACAATCCCAAGGTGGGGTTGGGTTTCTGGTAAATAAGTCGCTATCTGACAACGTTGTGGAAATTTCCAGTGTGTCGAACAGGGTAGCGTACCTCATTATCAAGCTCACCGAGAGGTATAGCCTCAAGGTTGTGCAAGTGTACGCACCGACCTCGGCACATTCGGACGACGAGGTGGAGGATATGTACGATGACATATCGAGGGCCCTCCACTTCACAACTAAGACCCACTACAACGTTGTTATGGGTGACTTCAACGCTAAAGTGGGAGTACAGAATTGCGGCGAATCGGTAGTAGGATCCCATGGATTTGGAAGCAGGAATCATAGGGGGCAAATGCTGGTCAACTTCCTCGAACGGGAGGGGCTGTTTTTGATGAATTCTTTCTTCAAGAAACAGCCCCAAAGGAAGTGGACGTGGCAAAGCCCCGACGCTATGACCAGAAATGAGATCGATTTCATCATGACGGATAGAAAGCACATATTCAGAGACGTCTCAGTGATCAATAGGTTTAATACCGGTAGTGATCACCGACTTGTCCGGGGCTCTCTGAATATCAACTTTAAGGCGGAACGTGTCTGTTTGATGAAATCCAGGCTCCGACCAACTCGGCTCCAAGCCATGACAGGATCTGAAACGTTCCAGTCAAAACTGGAAAACCGATTCGCTGCCGTGGAAACCACAATCGACGTAAACCAGAACCTCAAAAATGTGGTTCAGATCCTCAGGGAAGAAGGTATGAGATTTTGTGAAATGCAGCGTAAGGGCAGGAAGTCGAAGCTTTCAGAAAGGACCCTAGGGCTGATGAAGAAACGACGTGAAAACCCACCTGTCACTTTGTCGGCAAAGCGGACTCTAAACCGAGAGATCAGTAAACTCGTACGACACGACCTCCGGTGCTCCAATACTCTTTCAATTGAAAGAGCGATCGAGCAAAATCGGGGGTCAAAAGTGTTCGTACAATCTCTTGGAAGAAGCCACCTGACAAAGTTGACTACAGAAAGTGGAGAAGTCGTTGCTTCGAAGCCGGCAGTCCTTTTGGAAGTGGAAAGCTTCTATGGCCGGTTATACGCTTCGCATGCATCTCGACCTGATCCCGAAAATGAGGACTCTAGAGCCACATTAACACGTCACTACACCGAAGACCTGCCAGAAGTTAGCATTGACGAAATCGAGATGGCTCTTGGACAGCTGAAAAATGGAAAAGCCCCTGGAGAGGATGGCGTTACAACAGAGCTGCTGAAGGCCGGGGGTAAACCCGTACTAAGGGAGCTCCAAAAGCTCTTCAACGCTGTCCTGTTTGAAGGGAGAACTCCAGAAGCGTGGAGTAGGAGTGTGGTCGTCTTGTTCTTCAAAAAGGGTGACAAGACCAGGTTGAAGAACTATCGACCCATATCCCTTCTAAGCCACGTCTACAAGCTGTTTTCGAGAGTCATCACGAACCGTCTTGCGCGAAGACTCGACGAATTCCAACCACCGGAGCAAGCTGGGTTTCGGAGCGGATATGGCACCATAGACCACATCCACACAGTGCGGCAGATTATACAGAAGACCGAAGAATATAATCAGCCCCTGTGTCTAGCATTCGTGGACTATGAGAAAGCCTTTGACTCGATCGAGATCTGGTCTGTTCTGGAGTCCCTGCAGCGTTGCCAAGTAGATTGGCGATACATCAAAGTGATGAGATGTCTCTACGAAGCCGCCACCATGTCCGTCCAAGTACAGAATCAGCAAACAAGGCCCGTACCATTGCATCGAGGAGTGAGACAAGGGGACGTTATTTCCCCGAAATTGTTCACAAATGCAATGGAGGACATGTTCAAGACGCTGCACTGGAAAGGGCGTGGCATCAATATCAATGGCGAATACATCTCTCACTTGCGATTTGCAGATGACATCGTCATCATGGCAGAGACGTTGCAGGACCTACAGCAAATGCTGAATGACTTAGCTGACACTTCTGTACGCATCGGCCTACGGATGAACTTGGATAAAACCAAGGTCATGTTTAACGAACATGTACTACCGGAACCGATTGCGGTACACGGTGCCGTTCTCGAAGTTGTTCAAAATTATGTGTACCTCGGGCAGACATTGCAGTTAGGTAGAAACAACTTCGAGGACGAGGTGAACAGAAGAATTCGGTTGGGTTGGGCAGCGTTTGGGAAGCTACGTCGAGTCTTCTCATCGTCGATCCCACAGTGCCTTAAGACGAAAGTCTTTAATGAGTGCGTCCTACCCGTCATGACATACGGAGCTGAAACGTGGACACTTACGGTACGGCTGGTCCACAAGTTCAAAGTCGCTCAACGTGCTATGGAAAGGGCTATGCTCGGCGTTTCTCTAAGGGATCGCATCAGAAATGAGGTGATCCGGCAGAGAACTAAGGTCACCGACATAGCGTACCGGATCAGCAAGTTGAAGTGGCAGTGGGCTGGCCATATTAGCCGCAGAACCGATAACCGTTGGGGAAAACGAGTTCTTGAGTGGAGACCGCGTCTCGGCAAACGTAGTGTAGGACGCCCACAGGCCAGGTGGAGTGACGATTTGCGCAAGATGGCTGGCAGGAGCTGGATGCGAGAAGCCCAAAATCGATCTAAGTGGCGTGCAATGGGAGAGGCCTATGTCCAGCAGTGGACTGCGATAGGCTGATGATGATGATGATGATGATGATGCCATAGGAGAGCAAACAGACAGACTGGTCACGGTAAGTGACCACCGCCGTTCATGACATCTTCAACTCAAGAGTCACAGGTACGTTACCGCCCTCTTAGCAATCCTACCAGAATCAGGGGGATTGCAGTAATACGAAGGGTCTTCCACTTACCATTAAGGAAAAAAAACACCTTGATCGCAAGTTATTTATGTTTCTTCAGTTTTCAGAATAAATATATTGTAGAAATAAAAAACAAAAAAAGTGTACAAGTTGTTTATTTATCCCCATATTATGGGCGGTGGCAATGGCCGAGGGCCATAGAACCCTCCGCCGTAGTATCCTCCGTAAGCTCCGAATCCACCTCCGAAACCACCTCCAAAACCGAACCGTGGATAACGGTGATAGCCAGGATAGAATCCTGGGTATCCGAAGCCCCCAATGAAGTGCGATTCAGCAATCTGAAATAAATATGGTAAAATAGAATTTAGAGTCACAATAAAGTCTTCAATTGTGCCTATAATGGGAAGGGTGCAGAGACACTAACTTTTTTTTCCAGTCCAGTATGGCCGCGGCCAGTGCTCCCTGGTCAAAGCGTCAGGCAATTCATAGTAAGGTATGTAATTATTATCTATCGTGAGCGTGTTTATTCCAGTAAACATAATAACATATGGTATAGAGATATCGTAAGCTTGCCGTAAAAATTTAAAGACAATGAAAATATTTGAAAAATATAAACTGAAAATGTACCAATAATATTCTTCACTCATAAAATAAACTAATTATATATAAATATATATATTTGACGGGCCTGTTGGTCTAATGGTTAGTGACCTTGACCTCTAAACCGGAGGTCGTGGGTTAATTCCCACCCAAGACAAATATTGTGTGATGAGCACGGTCATTTTTTCTGTCTGGGTGTAATTTATCTGTATTATGAATGTATTTAAAAATATATAACACAGTAATACTCTTAGTTTTGTGTGTATTTTTTTTCGTTTAGAAACCCCCTCGGGTCTTAACACATCGGGGTTTGTGGAGGGGCGGGTGTGTAGGAATCTAACTGGAAAAAACCACACGATGTGCCACTCCGCACCTGAGATAGGAGGGGCCCGGGAACAGCTGATATTAAGACATCCGGATGTCAAAATAACATAACGCATCCTTTAAACATACACGCGTCATAAGCCATAAGTAACTGACTTCATCCTTTAAAAAGGATCCCCCGTCGGTTCCAGAATTAATCTGACAGACCCAAAATACACACGTAAGTAAAACAGTTTTACCTTATAAATACATATAAAATTATTTACGCACCTGCACAATCAAAATCACTGCAAATAAAACCAATACTGTATGAACCAACGACATTTTTTTAATGAACCTATCTTGTCTATATCGAAACAATAAATTATGCATTAGAGCGCATATCGAGATTATATATAGTACAAAAACCCACTATAATTTACATGTCGTTAAGTGTATAATAGTCTTTATTACAACTGTATACGGTAATAAGAAAGACTAAAGCTGTAACGTAATATTTGTCGCTTTTGTGCTAAATATTTTACTTGACGTGTAAGTGTGAAATGACTATTTTCAACGAGTTTTCCACAATGAACTTCACGGTTTCAAGACAAAATTCTAAATTGTGTTAATTATTTTATAAATATGTATCCATCCAAATGACACAGCTAAATACATATGATGACGACTGAGAGGGAATACCCAATCATCGAGAATCTTCTAATCGGAAAATCACTGATTTTCTTTGTCTCTGGTGTTAGAACAATAGCACTGCAAAGAAAATACTTGGAACAAACAGTTTTTTTTTACGTGTGGAAACCCCCTCGGGCCGTCACCACGCCGGGGTGTGCAGCGGGGTAGTGTGTCGGAATCGGAACGACTAAAACCATACAGTCTGCCACTCTGCGCCTGTTATAGGAGAGATCCGGAAACTGCTATCATTAAGACATCTGGACTCCACCTAGCGCCTGTCCGCAATGGCGCGGGTACCATCTTAAATTTGCGGGCGCGGGTTCCGAGTGAAGGTCATCCTCCCGGGCCTATCCCGCCTCCCATGACACCTGCAACTCAAGATTCACAAGTACCGCCGTTTGAGCCCTTCCACCAGCATCAGGGGGGGGGGGGGGGGGAAGGATTTCGGCTCTAGTAACCATACTTACTCGGGGAAAAGCAAATAAATAATTGCAAAAATGTCCTGATTATGAATTTTAAATCACAGTCGTCGACTCCATTTCTTTCTAGACGAGTCGCCACTCAATTTAAATTTGGGTTCTGTGGTAATTTCTCAGTCCAATTGAATGCATGGACTCGATTGTAGTAAAATAACTGCTGATTGCTCTTATCTTTCCTTATTAACAATTGGGTTAATATAGAATTCACGCTAGGTGCGTTAATTCTATATGATATATGATATATGTATATGATATATGATATGATATGATATATGATATTTGCTATCATTACTTCTTTTATGTCCACTTTATAATTCTCAACCAAAGGGTAGTGCACCTCCACACTCATTTCCACACCACCCTAAGGTAGACTGGTAGAGAATGCCTATGGCATTAAGTCCGCCATTGTACTTGTGTGCATAAAGTTGATAAATAAATAAATAAATAAATAAATAAATAAAATCTACCTCCTACTAAAAAGCATTATTATAATACTCATAATAAAAATATCTATTTTGTAAAACAATACTCTTTCTAGTTTTTTTGTAAGTGCAGGGTGTAGACAACACGTTAACTTGCAACCCTGTGCTTGTGTGGTTAATAATTAAATATTTTCATAACACGACAACACTGGTCCTTGCCTATAAATCACCGGTGTGGGATCGTTTTCATTGTTCAAATGTTTACAAGATGGCGAGCTTATTTTAAATTGAGTTATTTTTCGTTATTTATTTTTAGATAGCTATGTTATATATTGTGTAGTAAGATATAGATACAATTATAAGTTGCTGTTTGTATGAAAAATACATAAGTATACACTTCTTCCTCCGAGCATTTGCCCAAACTATTTTGGGGTAGGTTTAAGTCTGCTACGATACGGCCGAACTTCGATTTCGAACTTCGACTGCTATCAAACCAACATAATTAAAATAAAACACATTTATATTAAAAAAATACATAAGTGTACACATTAACAAATAAATTTAGTATTAGTTCATACATTTGCAGATACAATTTACAGATCATTTTGCTTCTACCTAACCCTCCATCCACAATTCTGTCATCACATCAACAGCCTTTAATAGTCCACTGCTGGCCTCTCCTTAGAAAGGAGGTATTGGCCCACTATACCACGCTGGCCAGACGGGTGGGTATAGGGTTTGTGTCAAGTTTTCCTTCTTTTTGCAGTGCTGGTGTACTGCGTTGTTTTCCCGTATTTTTAATCCGTCACTACACGGACAATTCTGTATTTGGATGTACTTCATCTATAAAATCTTTTTATTTAGCAATATATAGGAATATATATCAGTAGTCTGGTTACCATAGTACAGGCTCTACCTACTTTGGGATCAGACGGCCGTGAGATGTTTCAAGATATTATTATTATTTAATGGTTAAGAGAACAGTGGATAGGTTTGTTCTGTGAAGTACTCTTCGTCTTCAACGTCACTATTCATCTGAGTAAGTTATTCTAGAAAAAAGCCAATTTACTGACTTGATTTAATGAATTAATTTGATAAGAGAAGCAGAAAAATTTAAATCACCTTGATATAACTTCTTGTTGTTGTTACTTTAACTAATTTTGTTTATTTACTTTATGCAGACTAACCTTGATGAGCGACAAAAATACATCTGTAGTTTGAAGGAGTCATCATTTACTTTAGAAATCAGCAGCAATATAAAATATTTAAATAGTATTTTTAAATGATAGTACCTATTATTATGTTACAATAACATGCAACACGCAAATTATATGTAAATCGGATTTTTTAAATATTCTATCATCATAATCATTATTAATTCCTACCCTGTTTTTAACTTTACTTTGGTTTTGTTGTATAATGTGGAAACCCCCTCGTACAATCACCCCTCCGAGGTTTGCAGCAGGGCGGTGTGTAGAAATCGAACTGACTAAAACCACACGGTGTGCAATTCTGTGCCTGAAATAGGAGGAATCTGGGAAAAGCTGTTAAGATATCCGGACCTGGTTTCTTTGCCTGCCTGCCTAACGCCAATCCTTATCGAGAATGTAAGCATCATCGGACTTGAAAAAGAAAGAACTAGAATAAATAGGAAAAGCTAATATTGTGGTCAACAGTTTTTTTTTATTGTTTTGGTATGTAGATGCTCTCCTAATTGAGTCCTTTCAATTAGAGTGGTAGGACTCTAACTTTAAACTATGAATTTAATTATAAGCATATACATTATGTCGGGTAAGGCTTTAACATATACTATCCGTAAATTGTCGTCACTTTGCTCAATGATTCTTCCATCTAATAATTAGTTTCCTATTCATCGGTACCATGGATCGATACTAATTTTATCTCCATACCAATTCACGCTGATCAATAATAGAGTTGGAGAGTAGAAGCGTTAGAAACAAACAAACTTACAAACACATTTATAATATAAGCTTGTAAGAGACGACTTTTTTTTGATAAAAGCTACACTTAACTTGTGAATATTGACGATGTTCGAAGTACAGTGGAAACGCACCCTCTCATATGGGGTAAATTCATAACGCTACAAGTTACTCGTAAGCCCCGGCCGCCATTATGTCCGACAATACACCGCACCAGACTTAAATATTCGAAATATTTTAAGGCAATTTGTCATCTTCTTTAAAAATATATTTTGATGTCGTGATTCAGGAGTTTTATTCATTGTTGTTTACAGTGATATCTTTATGGCTATTTTGAGGAACAAAGACTTGCGCTCGTTGTGATAAAAGTGTTATAAAAATGCTTTTTGAACTTGTAACATAAAGAAATGTATCAAAAAAGAAGAAGCCGACAAGCCTGTAAATCACATTAATCATCAAATATAAGATACATTACGGTAGTCCTTACCACTCCAGTCGCATACGCTACCACTGCGCTACCGAGACAATCAAGGCAATTTGTAAGTTGAATGTTTAAAGGAAATTCGTCGGATTTCTTTTATAATTTCTTTCTGATGTCTGATGTCTGATGCCAAACCTTTTTTTTTCACCCAATGGTAAGCAACTACCGCTGCCCATGGACACCTGCAACTCAAAAGTCATAAGTGCGTTGCCACCCTTGGAGTCCAAACCTCCTTAGGAATCAAGGCGTATTCAGACAGAACAGATGAAACAGGTATTACTCTGGTCGAACAGGCTTCCATGTGCCGAAGGTTGGCTCTCCCGTGGTACAGGAGAATGCTCATTTCAATATGAAAATCAGTTTCACACTGTCACTTTTGTTTGCTGTGGCAAATATGTATAAACTACATTATTAAGCCTGTATTGAGTAGTATGTGAAATATTAGAGTATACTGTAACAAAACTTGAGGTTACTGAGAAAGTAAATGTGAAAATATTAACTACGAGAAAATATTGTGACCCTGACCTTAGTGTTTGTGACATCGTGTTTTTAACAGGGATATCGTCATTGCTTCAAGTTTTAGTGTTTGTATGAAATAATTTCAAACCCCAAATTCTAAAGAGAGAGATCAGGGTTGAAAAGTCACCTTAAAATCAATTTTTTGTGACTGTATGGAAGATACGTAGTCCATCATTTTCTGGTGTGTCTTCTATCCATCACCTTGCAATTCTATATTATTGCCACTAGCCTGGTAGCCAAATGTAAAAAGAAACGTAAATAACCCGCTTTTGGAAATAATAAACCATAATTTATCACTTGATGAATTCGAATCACTCAAAAGCATACAATTTTAATAGATTACGTTTAGTCTAATTTTGCAACTTTCGCGTTCTACGATATGGAGAGAGAAGCCGAAAATCGATCTAGGTTTCGTACAATGGGAGAGGTATAGACCTCCAGATCCTATAGAGATGTCCAGTAGTGGAAGGCGATAGGCTGATGATGGTGATGATGATATGGTGAGTTAGCCTGTGACCATGGTTAGTGCAACTTTGTCGAAACGTCAGGCAAATAAAAGTATATCTAGTACCTATCGATCACATTAAGCGTTCGTTTGTAATAATGAATATAGGTTTATATTAAAATACATAAATTTATCATCATCATCATCATCATCATCAGCCTATCGCAGTCCACTGCTGGACATAGGCCTCTCCCATTGCACGCCACTTAGATCGATTTTGGGCTTAAACAATAACATTATTTTAACATTAACATTATTTTTATTTTTTTTGATAAATTTATATAGATAGAGAATTAGATATATCCT